CTCATATATCAAGTTTTGCACGATTATAGTATACAATTTTATACGTGGTAGATATTTGGTACGTGGTAGAGGCATGCTGCTGTATTTCGTATAGTGAATGTAGAGAATCCTCCGGGTCTCTAAGAAAACTTTCCAGCAAAAATGGTGAAAAAGGAAAAGAGGACGGCGGTGATAAGGTAGGCGTGCAATTATTTTAACGAACGGCCTTTCTCTCAACTAGAATCCCTTAACAGTCCATAATGAAAAGCTACAAGCTTTGCTAATTTAAATTCACCCTCCGCAACACATTATTTTTTGGTTAATTGCGAGCCGTATTTTTACCGCATTTTTATACTATCTATATTTTTCACCCACGTGGTGGGAACCCCCTATGCATACTTCACAATTTGCTTTATTAATTCAATAAGAATTTATTCTATTATAGACAGCCTCGTACAGTCTTTCTGGCAACGATGGTGTAGTGATTACTTGCATAAAACTAATTTATAAAAGTACTGTTAGCATCAGTTAAAATATCAGGCTATTGAGACGTCCGGAAGCGGGTATACATAGAACACACTAATCATAAGTGTGTTAAATATAGTTCATGTGAATTTTAACATCGTTTTATATATTGGAAGAATTTATCGCAAAACCAGTGCTTTGACGTTCTAAAGATGGTAATTTCTAGTTCATAACTACTATTATGAGAACTTGAAAGCAACGCTATACCTGATTCTAAAGATAGTGCGCATAGTTCAAGTAAAATATTCCGTCAGTTCACTTCTGCGTGAAACAAAAGCATGCAGCGTCACGGGTTTGATTAAACAGCTACTACCACAGGTTTCTAGCTGGCAGCTAGCTACTCAACCGTTTCATTTAATTCAAACGCGTTCAAAAATGCTGTACTATAAGAGATGAGTTAGCTTTTTAATGTAGAAGCATTAATTACGTTTTATTATATTTCTGAATTGTTTTGTTGTGTACAGAAAACATTTAAATACCTATTGAAAATTTGTAAAATATCTCGATACATGCAATTGTATGTCATGAGAGATTTATGTATTAAACATAAGAAGTGTTTAGTACACCTACGTTTTCTTAATTCTTTGTGAACAACAGTTTTTACACAAAAAAGGTGGATATGTCATGTTATTGTTTAAATAAGGACATTTCTACAATGAAGAATAATATATTAACCGTATAGTGTTGGTGTAAGAATATTCATTGCCCGCAATCGTCCCGTAGGTGTCGTAAGAGGCAACGGGAAAACTGAAACTGAAATTAAAAGAATTTATTCATTGATATATTTGTAATAAGAATTTGAGGCCGTGTAGTGGCGGTTGAGAATATCCACTACCCCATATCTTCCCGTGGGTGTCGTAAGAGGCGACAGAGGGAGACAGGCAGGAGATGGGCAGCAGCATCTTCCTGATAACAATTGTGTTATAATAAAAAACTGCGGTTGCCAACCCGCTCGCCAAGCGTGGCAACTATGGTAAATATCCCCCCATGAATAACGACGCAAAAAAACGGCCCCCAGTCTCCGGCGGCCCCGCTATTCCTGGCTACGGTGGCGACCATGGTAACGGCGGGGCAGGGGGTGCTGAGAATCTCCGGTGGAGGTTCGGTTGCCACCTACGACGACTCGACCTGGCAACATATAACGCACGCACTCTGAGGACTGACGAGAAGATACTGGAGCTGGAAGAAGAGGTAGACAAGTTGCGCTGGCATATTATTGGATTATCCGAGGTCCGAAGAGAGGGGGAGGATACGGCAATCCTCGAGTCCGGCAACTTGTTCTATCACCGGGAGGGCAATCATCTGTCCCAAGGAGGTGTCGGATTTATCGTCCACAAGTCTCTGGTCAACAACGTTGTACAGATTGGGAGTGTGTCGACGAGGGTCGCGTACCTGATACTCAGAATCACCAAACGGCATTCGCTGAAGGTCATACAGGTTTAGGCACCAACCTCGGCACATCCCAATGAGGAGGTGGAGGAAATTTATGAGGATATTTCCAGAGCCATGCAGTCCTCCAAAACCCACACGGTGTTGATGGGAGACTTCAACGCAAAACTGGCACAAGAGAATGCGGTGAGCTGAAGGTGGGGAAATTTGGAGTAGGGCAACGGAACCGAAGGGGCCAGCAGCTGGCCGACTTTATGGAGGACTTTATGATGAACTCCTTCTTCCAGAAGCGGCCCCACAGGAAGTGGACCTGGTCGAGCCCCGACGGTTCGACAAAAAATGAGATTGACTTCATTATGACGACCAGACGCCAACTGTTCAGTGATGTCTCAGTGATCGCAAGGGTGGAAACTGGCAGCGATCACCGAATGGTTAGAGGCACAATGAACCTAAATGTTAAGTTGGAGAGGTCTCGTCTAATGAAGTCAACGCTCCGCCCCCTCGTGCTCTAATCTGGAATCCCGAAAACTTTCAGATCGAGTTACAAAACCGCTTTCAGTGCCTAGAGGATTGCAATGCAGTGGACGATATGAATGACAAGCTCGTGGAAACTGTCCATGCGGTCGGAGCTAAGTTCTGCAAGACCCGCCGCAGAAGAACACAAAAACTCTCCGATGACACTCTTAATCTCATGGCTGTTAGATGGGAGATGAGGCTGCAATCGTCAACAGATTTGACAGCATACAGGCAACTGAACAGACAGATCTCCAAATGCATGCGGCGAGACTTACGCAACTTTAATACTGCTCGTATTAAAGAAGCGATCGAGCGGAACCAGGGCTCCAAAGTTTTTGCCAGAGATCTGTCTGCCAGAAAGAGCCAACTGTCAAGGCTGAAGACTGAGTGTGGCAACTTCGTTTCTGGGACACCTGAGATTCTGAGTGAGATTGAGAGGTTCTATGGGCAGCTGTACACATCATCATTGGAGCTACATGCAAGTGTGAGTAACAATCCAAGAGCAAGTCTTATCCTACACTATTCCGATGATATCCCGGACGTCAGTCTGAGCGAGATTAGAATGGCTCTCCACCACCTTAAAAACGGCAAGGCCCCGGGCGAGGATGGAATTACAGCGGAGCTTCCGAAAGCGGGTGGAACACCGGTACTTGAAGTCCTTCAGAAGCTCTTCAATTCCGTCCTCCATGGTGGCACTACTCCGGAGGCGTGAAGCAGAAGCGCGGTGGTCTTGTTCTTTAAGAAAGGCGACAACGCTCTCTTGAAGAACTACAGACCGATTTCCCTTCTGAGCCGCGTCTAGGTGCTGTTTTCGAGAGTCATTACGAATCGTCTCGCACGCAGACTCTACGACTTCCAGCCTCCCGAACAAACCGGTTTCCGAAAAGGCTTCAGTACCATAGACCACATACATACCCTTCGGCAAATTGTACAGAAGTCCGAAGAGTACAATCTGCCACTTTGCCTGGCGTATGTGGACTATGAGAAAGCCTTTGATTCCGTCGAAATTTGGGCGGTGCTACAGTCTCTTCAGCGGTGCCTAGTTGACTGTCGGTATATTGAAGTGCTGAAGTGTTTGTACAGTAGGGCTACGATGGCTATCCGAGTACAGAACCAGAGTACGAAACCTATCCCAACTGCAGAGAGGTGTAAGACAGGGTGATGTTATATCCCCCGAAACTCTTCACCGCTGCGTTCGAAGACGTTTTTAAGCTACTGGACTGGAAAGGATATGGTATTAACATCAATGGCGAGTATATCACTCACCTTCGATTTGCCGACGATATAGTCTTTATGGCAGAATCGCTGGAGGACCTTAGCACTATGCTCAATGACCTCAATGGTGTTTCCCAACGGATAGGTCTTAAGATGAACATGGACAAAACAAAGATTATGTTCAATGTCCATGTCACACCTATGCCGGTAGTTGTTGGGAGCACTATGCTCGAAGTTGTTGACGAGTACGTTTACCTGGGACAAATAGTCCGACTAGGTAAGTCCAACTTCGACCGAGAGGTCAATCGACGGATTCAACTCGGCTGGGCAGCGTTCGGGAAATTACGACACATCTTCTCGTCAGGTATACCTCAATCTCTGAAAACTAAAGTGTATAACCAGTACGTGTTGCCAGTGATGACTTACGGATCTGAGACGTGGTCCTTCACCGCTGGACGTATGAGGACGCTCAAGGTCGCTCAGCGAGCTATGGAGAGGGCTATGCTCGGAGTTTCACTGCGTGATAGACTCAGAAATGAGGATATACGCAGTAAAACCAGAGTGACCGACATAGCCCAACGGATTAGTAAGCTGAAGTGGCAATGGGTTTGCCATATAGCTCGAAGAACCGATAACCGATGGGGAAGAAAGGTACTCGAGTGGCAGCCTCGTCCTGGTAGGCGTAGTGTAGGGCGACCCCCCACTAGATGGAGTGACGACCTGTTAAGACATGCAGGAAGTCAATGGATGCATGTGGCTCAGGACCGTTCTTTGTGGCATTACTTGGGGGAGGCCTATGTTCAGCAGTGGACTTGTGAAGGGCTGTAATAATAAAATAATAAAGTAAAGCATATTCCATACGACAAAACTTAACATTTAATGCCGATTTTTGTACCTTAAAAATTGACGGTCGTCCAACACAGAGTAATAATTTTTAAGTGGTAATACCAACGTAAAATAGTAGTTAAATGCTTATGTGTTTCATATAGTGAGTGTGGATAACTAGAGACATTCCATCTTAGTCCTCAGTGTTGACAACGCATCTGCATTTTGATTCTTAATCTGGCATGAATGTAGATAGAGTCAACGAGCCACATCATCCACTTATCCTTTGGTGGATTGTGTGCTCGTTTGTCACACTTATTCTATAAAAACTCCAAATAGATAAATGGACGGATGCGATAAAACCCATCTCTTAATTTCGTTTTGTAGTGGTGGCTATAGTTACAGCCGATAAAACCCAATAATTTCCGGCATAGTGTTATTTCCATTTCTTTTATACCAAATATATTATGAAATACCTACATTAACAAAGTTTAGTATCAGATACTGCATACTGCGATCGTCCATGCACCCACGTAGCGATTACAACAAAGATGAGAGATCCATATCAAATAGACAACTCCTGTGAAAAAAAGAAACTGATGGTAATGCAGATTTCAGAATGTACTGGGACTGTTTTTCTGCCGTCTGCGTAATGCGACCTTATTTTACCTGTTTCTACTGCAAAGCAAATATGCACGCACTTTTGTGTTCCGGTCTGAAGGGTAACGATAGCCAGAATAATTTATATAAACACGACTTGCGGCATTCCATCTTGGTCCTAAGATGTGACGACACATCTGTAGCTTTCTTCTTTGTAACCTCTTCAGCTTTGAATAATTAATGTTTAGTCCGATCAACGCAGAATGAATTTGCAATATCTAGAAGCTATCGTATACTTAGGTTTCTCGTCGCGAATATAAAATAAGTAAATTGAACGCTATAAATTGTATAAAAATAAGAACCATTCAACAAAATACTACTCTTATTTCGAGTACTAACGATAACGGACTTTTTAAAAACTTTTTTTACATTCTTCTTCCCCATCGTAAATGTTAAAAATTTTAGAAATATAGGAACCGGGAAATTGATGTTTCTTGTAAATTTCGCGCACCCGAGATGAAATCTCAACGGTTTGACTTATTAATAGGATAAATGCATATTAGTTGCATATACACGTGCTATTAATTCCAGGTATATACCCGTACTGGCATCGTATCGCACTATGTGCGACTCCAGATTGTGGTGTCTGAAGCCTTTATTTTGGGCTCTGGGGAGCACCATGTTGACATCGGCAGCGTTATTCGTCTCATCTGTATCGTCGAAAAGGTGAGTTAACTTTTTTGTAAACAGTGTGACAAATGACAGATGAACTAATTAGCTAACAAAATATTTCATCTTAAGTGGCTCCTGTAATCTATTGACATCGGTAACTTTCTTCAGATTAACAAAACTAACGATGCATTGTCACCTCTAAAAAGTTGTCTTAAAATATCTCGTAACCTGTTACTATGTTCGCTCTTTTCATCCTTCGAACCAGAACACTACAGTGAACGCATTGCTTCCTTATGACAAAATAGGCTGGTTCCTATCCATATATTAAAAAAGAAAAGAACTTTTTCACCTGATGAAATTATTTCAATAAAACTCAAGACTTGAGACTGCTAATATACATTTTTCCACATTTTAATGTCTTACCGCAGGCCAAAGCTTTTTTGTTTTAGTAATAAAGATAAACACTTGCTTCACAATATTTATTTTAAATTAATATACTTCTAAATATATCAGAGAAGAGAAGTCAGTAGGAGGTCCAACAGGGAAGGTACATGATTTTCCACATCTGGGATTCGCGTGGGCGAGGTCACCAGTTATGTCGGACCATATGCTAAAGCAAAGTCGTAAACAGATCTATCCGCATGATTGGTTAAACGAGAACCAAGCCAGTCAGTGTGGTGGGCGTTAAAATCGCCAGGTATCACGATCTCTGCGGATGGGACCTGTTGTAGCACGGAGTCTGCAGCCATTTGGCCGTGGTCGAATGGTGGGTCTTTGTCGGCATTACCGCTATCGGACCTATAGAGGCATCCGTAGACGCGAGTATGTTCGTCGCTGCCTACGTGCAGCCATAAGATGGACAGGTCCTTACCTTCACGGCTGCCAAGGCGTCGTAAACAGATGTCCTCTCTGACGTACACGCAAATTACAGCACGGGGAACAAAGGAGTGTTCTACTTTATACCTCGGGTAAGAGAGATACGAAGTATTATATACTACTAAATACATCATATATCAAGGTAAATTCAAAGCTTTTCTTTCTATTACACTCAGAGCATTCTACGATATTACTTTTTTATCTTTAAAGCTCGAAACCATCAGATTTGTTACCTTACTATAGGAATCTTAAACTTAATATACTTTTAATATAATTTATGTAGAAAAGGATTAGGAGACGATAAAGGTAATGGAACGTTACATTGATGATAGGTACAGTAGGAGCGAGCAAAGATAATAGAGAATGAGGCATAGCTGGTTATAGACAAATGAAAAACAGAGATTAATTTACTTTTCGGTATAAAACAGGATATTCTGTTTTATTACTATGCTATTTGCATAATATCGAACGGAGTTATATACAAAGGACCTAGATAACTTTACGAGGAGTATAACCGAGTACATTGATTTATTTTGTTTAACATACTTAATACTACTATTATTACTTACTAAAAATATAAGTAAATTGAGTGAAAACGATTATTATTTGAAGACGAATTCCCGTAAAATATTGCAATATTATATAAAAGTAGGTTATAACACGTTATAACGAAGCTATTAGAGACATACTATAATCAAACGGTGTCATTCCACTGTCCAATTTCACACTTGTTTCTAGTACCAAACCTCTGTGATCCCAAGTAAATGTTTCCATTATAATATATTGGATGTATAGAACGGAATTCGGGAGTATGTAGTCTGAAATGAAACTTATAAAAGCTACTATTACTATAGCGATGAGATCATTCGTATCTTTTATTGGTCACTAATGTTATTCTCACTGTAACGGGTTAACGACTATTGCTATGGGGGCAATAAATTCGCTCGCTCACTGACCAACGACTGTAGCGTAAACACGACAGTAGAAAAGATTGTTAAAATTACGATCCGTTATAAAAACAAAAAATAAACGGGTCAATCTCGATACCGATATTTCCGTCACTAACAGTTCTTATTCTCTTCGGCCCTACAGGATGAAATCAACGGTTGCAATCAAAGCATTTTATCAAACTTAAAAAAATCGGTCTTAACCAGAATTTTTATTTTATTAATTTTTTTAACTAACTATGCTCTAGCCTAATTAAAATAATCAATATATTATCTTCATTAATATATTTAAAAATATACACATATAAATCAATTGCCGTGCGTTGCGTATAACTCTATTTACTACACAAAAAGATACACATTTTATTGAGATAATTTGAAAATGCATCGTGGTGTCGCGCTTCGCTCCGAGATGCCTCGCGGCGCAGCGCGAAGCCTCGTGACGTGGCGACTTGCTTCTACTGTAGGCGCTGCGCTACCAGCGAATTCACAAAGTCAGGGCGGATCGCTACTCTAAAATATTTTCATGATCTAAGTAATACATAACAATATTAAGAGATCAAAATAGTATAAAAAAGGATTAAAATAATAAGCCCTAGGCTGAATTTTTAGTCATCAATAATAATAATTCATCAAATCAATGCTAACCTGACTAAAAAAACCAATTAAAAGGAATAATAATAAACGTACTTCGATAAAATAACATTATTATTTGTTCTCAGAGTCCGACACCACCACAGTTCGTATTCTGGTACCACAACGATCGGATGATAAACTACGACGCGATCCGTTGTGGGATCAGCGTGGAGACGGAGCCGGGTGCCCGCACACAGTCGCGCCTCACCGTCCGCGGCGCCACGCTCAAGGACTCCGGCAACTACACCTGCAACGCCAGCAACACTGAACCGGCCTCTATACATGTGTTCATCTCTGAAGGCAGTGAGTGTTTTAATACGTTCAATGACGTAGCTAGTTCTCGAGGTACCGTTACAGCCTACTAAAGTCCACTGCTGAACATAGGCCTCCCCCATAGATTGTCTCATAGGGGGGACATTTGCCATAATTGCCACTCTTTATTTTGTGTCGTTATTAGGAAAACGCCCCTGTTCATCTCCTGAATTGTTTCCCCTCGTCTCCTCTTACGACACCCACACTCTTACATGGGATATGTGCTATTAGATATTCTTATACCACCACTACACGGTATCCCTTCTCGGTTCTCAAGTACCCATTTCGAAAGTATATTGTTTTTGAAGTTAAGCTTCTTTAGGAGTAACGTTTAGCAGTTTCTGATTTATTAGTCAGAAAACCACATTTCAAAACTATATTACAATAACCTTTAATAAACGAAATCCACTACCCCATATTGTTCCGAATGTGTCGTAAGAGACGGCGAAGGGAAACAAATCAGGAGATGGGCAGCAGCCTTCCTAATAACGACTAAAATTAAGGTTGCCAACCCGCTTGCCAAGCGTGACAACTATGGCAAAAATCCCATATATGAGGCAATGTTATGTAATGCTTATGTTCAGCAGTGGGCTTCAACTTCTTACGTAGCAGAAATAAAGATATTCCATGATGATTTATTTGAAACATGTTTCATTTCGTAGAACCAGTATGCTTAAGGGGGTATAGTAAAAAGTCAGCTCAAATTCTAATAACTCCCTCACTTCCCCGCGCGTCGTATGCTATGTACCGACATGTTTGTAATCACTAATACTGTAAGTAGATAGGTCGTTATATACTTATTTCATTGGGTTTATCATATTTATGCTTGTTTCTTAACGCCAACCCAGTCGCTTCTTATTTTTATTATGGTTATTTCCCATTTTAATTTTATGTCGTCCAGTTGCGTAATGTGTATTCTGATCGTAAGCGACACAGCTTCCCTCTTCAAAGGCCGAAGCGAAACTGACCGGGCGGCAGTAATCAAGCTTCAAGACGCCGATAGTTTAAGTAATTTCTTTTTTACAGTGAAAATAATGGTATTTTAAAAAAAGTAAATAACATAAGCACTGCTTTATAGTTAGTTCAGTTAGTATGCAAAGTTTTATGATCTTAAGTATTTTATGAATAACAGCGGTTTATGGATTATTTTGGATGTAACTTTAGATTTTTTTTCTATAGTGAAAATTTTATGGAATCGTGTTTTCGTCTAACATAGTCCTTACCATTATTCCTTAACTTTACCATATTTTTATTTCGAAATTAATGCTGCAGTATTTTCGGCATAACGGAGGATCTTGCTAAGCCATTTGAGGTTATATTTCCCCTTAAAAAGGCCCGCTGTTTTGATTTCAGAGCCGAAATATTAAACAATAAAATTTTATCGAATATACATTTAACCGAAATACGATCTCAACACTTACTACACCCGTATCTCGATATGTGACCACCACTCGACTGCCTTAAACCAATATATATGTATGATCCAACGGCCTGGACGTTCAGTCGCAAGCATTATGTGTCCCCGTCCTCGTTGCTGTCCCCGTGCAATCGTAAATATCGCCTGCAAAGCGTACTTATGATAATACGTACAGTAGTCTGATGGTTTGGGGTGCTAATTGCGAAGCTAAAGTTCAACGGTTCGAATCCACATTCAACTGCTATTATAAACCACTCATATCACAAGCATTTTTAATGCTTAATTAGCGTAGATGTAACAAGAGCATAGTAGTATTAGTAGTGTTAATATTAATGTGTAAATATTATATACTAATTTCAAAAAGTATTACTCTTTTTTAATAATTAAAAAATTTGACTCTTTTTTAAATAGAAGATACTGAATTACCAGTACAGTCGATGTCCATGTAGAAGCTGCGTAAAAAAATCAAATAGCCCTTATCAAGCCGTGAGAGTCATAAGAGGTGACAGAGGGAAACTTAAATATATAGCCAACAGTATTGTATTGATAAGTACCCAAAGCAAATACAAAACTGCGGTCGCCAAACGGCCTACTAAACGTGGCAACTATGACAATAAAATATTTTTTAGGATGTAACTGTGATGGGAAGGAACTCTTAATGACTAAATATGGTATCTGTCATTGGTCATATGAGTACAATTTTAAAACTGCCTTCAAAATCGGTCGGTTAACACTTCAGCCGTATTAAATAATATCGCGCGATTCATTAAGTTATTAAGAGTAGTAGTTAAGCTTCCAATCCTGCACACGAGGCGGTCGTGTGCAGCATTGGAAGCTTAATGTACACTATAATGTACAAGCCATATTTTTTACTGTTTATTAGTTATATTAAAACACACTCTGCTATGTCGTGGGGGCGTTATAGATATTTTTGTGTTTATGCATATAAACACTTGGATCAGGTACAATTATTATTGGGCCATACAAATAGTGGTGTCGTGACGGACCTGAAATGCGACCCGTAGCGACATATGCAAACGTTTAAAAACTGCGCTTCCGAGCTGTTAAATATTAGCCGTTAAACATAAATGTCCGTTAATTTATGTTTAACGGCCATTAAACAGTTCCACATTAAGGGGCCACTACATCTGGTAATTACCTGATTAATGATTAAATGAACTAACAAAAAACACAAAAAATAATGGAATAAGATAAATAAAACTTTTTTATACTACAAACATATTGGTATTATAAACGTATAACATAATATTATATACCTATTTTTTTAAGATATGAAATTGAATCTGCGATATTTATTATTAAATTTAATTTATAATGCAGTGTTCCGGAGACAGCGAAATTATACATGCAAATAGCAAACCTCGTAATGATTTTTATAAAGTGGATTTTATATCAATACCGGCCTTAAATTAAAATGAAATGTGAAAAATATACGAACGTATAACGCGATTATTAATTTCGTTGATGTAAGGACTTCATCCCTTTCATCGTGAAAGTAAATGTCTATCCAATTTAAAACTGGTATTTTAAATGTTACGACAATCTGTATCCTCGCCTCTGCTCCTGGTGTAAATTAAACTTTAGCAATAATTGTTATAAAGTGTCCTTCGTCCTATCCCACAATATAAGTGACAGCTAATTAACAGAATTAATGTAATTAATATAAAGTTTAGTTGTATATCTTCCTTGCTAGTATTTAGACTACCAATGGGGAAGAAAGACTCTGAGTGGCAGCCCCGTAATGGCAAGCGCAGTATTTAGCGCCGACTCCTTCCCGCCTCTCTCCACTAGACGACGTGACGACTTTATGAAGCACACAGGCACAAACTATGGGGAAGGCATTGTGTATGCTTTCAAAAACTTAACTTTTTAATAGATTATTGCACGCCTCATAAGCGAAGCGTTGAAGTTGTGCTCTTCTCTCACCTAATGGAAATCCACTCAAGAAACTTTTTTCACCAACGGTTGTCGGTTCTTCGATCTATATGGCCGGCCCATTGCCACTTCAGCTTACCAATCCGTTGGGCTATGTCGGTCACTCTGGTTTTACTGCGGATATCCTCATTTCTAAGTTTATCACCCAGAGAAACTCCGAGCATAGCCCTCTGGAGAGGGCATAGCTCGCTGAGCGACTTTGAGCGTCGGAAGAAGGATCGGTTCCGAGCTTAAAATGTCTTTATTTTTTTACTATTGAATTTTTAGAATAACAAAAATACACATATATCGAGAAAAATCACTCGTTTTTATGTTTCTATTTCTTTTAAAAGTAATTTTCTGTATTTAGAGTAAAAACATACTGATTGAAAAAAAATCCGGATGTCTGTATGTGTGGATGGCGCACGATTACGGTCGTTAGAATTAGATCTCTCCTTTTGTCCCAAATTGGAAAAAGAGATATTTTTCTTTTTATATAATCAAATGAGATTATGAGGCGTGCACTTTTGGATTTTCCAAACTTTTTATAAAATTATAAATGAGATGTATAATAATGACATAAAGTAACTACAAAAGAAAATAACATTCATTTTGCGAAATTTCAGGCAACAAGATGGCGGCGATCTTGCGTCGCAATACAAGCGCAATACATGGCATCGCGATGACTGTGATATTAAGCGAGCGGTAGTTAAGAATTTGATACTGTATGTAAGTGTATCTTTTTCCGTTTCTATTAGATGTCATACTCCATGAGCGATTTATCAGTAGCACTACTAATTACTTACCTTTCTTTGAAGTTTAGAAATGTATATTTAATATTTAAAATTGTTATTGATACCCAAATAGCAATCGATTTGCGAGAGATCTTAAAGTTATTAGCACTCACTTTGTCCCGTTAATGTCATTGGCATCTACGTGAAGAAGTGTGTTCTGAATTATTTTCGACCTAGGGCGACCTGAGGAAATTAAAGAAAATGCTATGGCTTCCGAAAAGCAGCGATGTAACAACTTTGTTTACCTCATCTAGTAAATATCCAGGCCAGCGATGGGCCTAGCGCTACAAACTACAATCCGACAGACAAATATTATATTGAAGGCAAATTCTCCCCGCAAGGAAAAATACCCATTTCGAAGACGGTAATTAATTTTTTTTTGTTTGACCATAGCCTTTCGCCATATTTATTGGTCTCACTATTTGTTTATTTGTTTAAGACGCGCTCTGTGTTATAACAACCTTATAGATTATTTATAAACAAAATTTGGTTATTTTATCAACTTCAGTAAAAATAATAAAGCTGTTTATTTATTGTTTTTGCGTGTTCATAGTTTTCAAATGTATCACCAAAACAAACCTCAAAGCTCATATACGTATATACCGTACAAAATTAGCACTTAGAATAACTAATTAATAATTATTATACTTGATCATACAGTACCAAGTTGTAAGTCTTTACACACCATTTCATTCAAGTTGCTCTGAGCTTTGTAAGTTAACACCATTCATAATAATAAATTAAATATAATATGGAGTATTTTTAAATTGGGTGTCTTTTCTTACTTTGTATAATATTGTAGATATATCTCAATTTTACGATCGATGTTGGTTTAAAGACAATAAAAAACTTTTGGTTTTTAATTTAAATATGCATTTCATTACCACAACTTTTTAAAAGATATTAATTAACTTGTTGTGAAAATAATGAAATTAAAGTTATATCATAAATTCATACCACAGACTAAACTGTGAACCAATCATAAAAAGTTTTGCGAACCTAAATATTTTGTGACCGAGCTAGTGAAATGAAATTTAAATATAACTCATAAAAGAACTTTACTTTTATTTCCCTATTATTAGCAATGTAATTATTAGCTCAGTTTATTTAATAAACTAATGTTTGTGATCCAGTCGTAGATTAATGTTATATGTGTACTGTATAGATAATTATTTATAAGTACTTATTCGTATGTTTATTGGTACAGTAGACCAAAGCATTTAAATAACAATTGAAGTAAATACTTGATGTCATAGAAATGTTATTAAATACTAAAATATTTAAAAAACAAGATTACACTCGCTGTCCTTTTATCTATATACTAAAACTATTGTCAATAAATTGTCTTGTTTATTAGAAATTGACTCACAAAGACAATTATTCATTTCGCAATGTTCATAATATCGCGATATATTATATAATGTATTTCTCTACAAAACACAGACCAATATAACGGGAACATAGAAAATTTGATTTTACTTTATAATCTACACATGTTTTTATGAACTTAATGTCTTTTACTTAAAAATATTTTGTTTATAAATATTTAATCATACAATATAGCGTCAATAACGGCATAGATATAGTTGGCAATTATAAATAAAAACCAAATCTTATATAAATATCTATATATATATATATATATATATATATATATATATATATATATATATATATATATATATATATATATCTGTGGGCAAAATTTTAAATTATGATTTTGGCAAGCTTGTTAAAAAAATCCATAGTAAAATTTTTATTTGGAGTGATATTTTTATTTACTCCAAATTTATATACGTTTAAATGTATCTACGAGGGGATGTGTACTAATTTTTGGGAGTAGTTTCAAATTAAAAAAAATTAAGATTAGAAAAATTGTAATTTTCTGTTCACATATTTCTAAATATTTGTTTAATGCACACATATACAAGGACTTTTGATTAAATAAAGACTTTTACGCGTTTATTGTTGACATTTGTTTGTTAATTAAAAAATATGAATACTTGCCCGTGTAATTTCTCAGATATTTTAGATATATTTATTGAAATTTTTGTAGCAGTTAACGTAGGTACATATTAAGGACAAAGCTGACTTAACGCCTCCGAATTATTCTAAATGAAAAATAATATACATAAATCATTATACACTTTAACTCTTGTTTGACTTAAACAATCTTGTAGGTGAACACTTACCATTTCAATTTAGCATTATTTATAAGAAAATTAGCACATGTATAATTATTAAAACACATTTATTTAAAAAATAAAATGCAGAATTGAACGAAAATTACTGCCCGTAATTTAATAAAAAATAATTGATTTAATAGGGTTTAAGTCAGCTTTGTAAATACTATAGATTTTCTTTGGCATAATCACATTTTAATTTTATTTGATGTAATGTTATAGATATAAGTAAGAATTTAGTAATAACGTACGATCAGTATGCTTGTGTAAATATAAAATGTAAAATCGAACGAATGAAATGAATAGATAATACTCGTCGTTAGACATTGTACATAACTTGTTCGTGTTACAAGTATTTGAAATTACCTGCTGTACAAACACTTTTGGTGATCCTATGTATGCAATAAATATTTCTTCGGATTCGAGTATTTTATTTAACCACCATTAGCATTAATTACCAGCAGCTACACTTCGATTATATGATGTACTCACCATGCCATTAACAATCACATACTTTTGGGATTCAAAAGAATAGAAAGCATTTCAGCATTTACTGGAGGCCTATTAGATTTTTGCCTCAACAATTAGAATTTTACTTCCAACGGTTAGTCATTTTATCAAAGCTAATAATATTTTTTTTTGTAGAATAAAGGTGACATACGAGCATACAGTCCACCTGATGGTAAGTGGATGCTGAGGCCCATAGACATCTACTTTTATCCTCGATTGAGAATCAAATGCAAATGTGTCGTCTCCCCTGAGAACTAACATGGAATGCCTCGTTTCCAGTAAAAAAGGTCTCCGGATCTCTATACTCATCATACGAAATCAAGCAGTAATGAGCTGTTATTTCACGCTGGTATTCTGTGACAGCGTGGTCCTTCCCCGGCCGACTCGACCCATTCGTGCTACAACCGTAATAAAGCTGCAGCGTGGCTCTACCACGTACAAAAACTTACAGAAATGTGTCTAAATAGTTCCATAGTATCAGAATACTTCATATTACTTTAAACGATATACATGTCACGAATGGGGTGACTCAATCGGGAAAAAGACCGCGCTCTCGCAGAATACCAGCCTAAAGTAGCAGTTAAATTCTGCTGTGATTCATATGGTGAGTGTGGAGAACTGGAGACCATTTTTTAATGAAAACGAGGCATTCCATCTAAGTCGTCAGGGTTGACAATATATTTTCTATTTGACGCTAAATGAGAACTATGTGCCCGTTTATCATCCATATTGTATATAAAAATGTCAAAAAGCAATATATACGTCGTAACAGATGCCATTCAGATTTAGAATAATTCTATGGATAATAGGCCAAAAAGTTAAAGTTACAGCCTATATACTTCCCACTACTGGGCACATGCCTCCTCTCATTTCTGAGAGGGTCTTGGAAATACCGTGATTGTTTTACGAAGTGCATATAAATCGATCTTAAAAGTTAAATTGCTTAGTTTCCCATTATATTAAATGGACCACCATTACGACGTACGTGTGTGTTAACAGCTGTTAGTTTTAGTAATGTTATATTAGTTTAATAAAGTAATCAATGTTTATTTTTCTGTTCAAATGTAATAAAAATGAATACTAAATTTCTTACTGGCAATACGAATCGTATACTAATTGAAACTGTCGAATTTGTGGAACCTGTTCATTTAAATTTTAGCTGTGTTTTAACTTGAAGCTTACGTAAATAAAGCTTTAAAAGGCTTAACAAAGCCTGAATGACCGTGTTGCCAGTGATAACTAATGGATCTGAGACGTATGATGGCGTGACAATAGAGCAATTTATGGTTATTGAAGGTATCTACGATGCAAGAGAATTTTCTATGGGGAAAGTGTAAAAAATAAGAAGGATATAAATATTCCTATATCATTTAGTTATTAAAATTTAAAATTATTATTATACAACGTGACACTGATTCAAAAATCTTAAAATTAGAATTGTGAGTTCCAATAACATAAAAATCGTCGAATACAGTTTTTTTATATGAGCCATTAGATTAAACTTCGTAAAAATCGTAAACGTGGTAGAGCCATGCTGCAGTTATATTAGTAGTATAGTTGTAGTACGAATGAGTCGGCTCGAGCGGGGAAGGACCACGCTCTCATAAAATACCAGCGTGAAATAGTAGCTTAATGCTGCTGTGTTTTTTATGGTGAGTGTAGAGAACCGGAGACCCTTTTTACTGGAAACGAGGCATTCCATCTTAGTCCTCACGGGTGACGACGCATCTGCATTTTTATTTGATATATAGATCAAATAAAAATGCAGATGCGTCATCATATATATATATAGATATCTATTGCCCGCAGCAAAATCTTACCATCAGGGGGGACTGTGTGCTCGTTTGTCACCCTATTCTATAAAAAAATATTCCTAAGCAAAGCTGGCGATTGAGGCAAATCCTCCCAACGGGAGAAGACCAGCAGTCGACTATCGAAAGTGAAGAAGTTAAAACATAAACAATATAATGCATTCGATTTTGATAGTGTTTAACTATATTTTATAATCCGTAAAGGAGATGTTCCATAAATGTATGGAGCCTGGGCCAGCACTATGTACACTATATGTGAATATTGCTGTATAATATAGTAACCGTTTTTTATTGTTAGTTTTCTTTAATTTCACTGCGTTTCATTGTACATTCAAATTAACTTGGTCAAGGAGAGCAACACAACATAAAATTAAACATGGTGGATCCAGGTGGATCGGAACAGCAGTACGC